TTTATAAAAACCCTCGATTTACTATATTATTGGTATATTATTATTGGACTACTAGTAAGTGTCAAAGTCGACCTCTCGTCTCTACTTTTTCGAGATTAGACAGGATACTTACTGAGTACACATTGTTTTTGTACTCATGCTACACTTGCTGTGCATTTTTGTTGCACAGGCACATGTACCCCTAACGGCCTAATGGGCGTAACAGCTTGGATGATACGGAGACTTAGGTGAGCTGCATTTCTCATGGCGATCCGCAGCCGGCATAGTCTCTTTCAGTGTATAGTATTTACCTTCTGTCCAATTTGTATTCCAGACAGTTATTGCACTTCATTTGATTTCCTAGAAATAGCTCATGCACTTGTGACACCGGGTTCTAGGATAATTATGAGATTATTAAATATTAAGTTTGTTAAAGACATCATCTTATTTCAATGAATTTCATTATTTATTGTTTAATATATAAAAGGAATTATTTCAATAAATACTAAAATGGGAATTTAATTAACTTCTTGGTGTTGGCTTGCCTGACAGTGATGTCCGGCGCCATCACGACCCTTAGTGGATTTTGGATCGTGACAGCTATTTAACAAGTCCTGCCTGTTCTAGATGTATAATTGAACCTGCAAAAGCACTTATAAATGAATGTAATCCTCCAAAATACAAGGCCTCATCTTACACAGAGTATCTGAAGATTTTCTTCACTGACACCTCAGAATTTGAAGTATGTTATAAATAGAATTTTATTTAGGGTAAATGTCTATATTCTAGAGAGATTCTAGGGTTTATTAGTTAGTGGCTAAGTTACCCTCTCCCTATAAATAGAGGGTTCTATTCCATTGTAATTCATCCCAAAATCAATAAGAATTCTCTCTCTACTTTTTTCTGCAATATTCTTCTTCTTTTATTTTCATAACACGTTATCAGCACGAGACTCTAACCAATTGAGTAGAAGCTTTGGGATTAAGCATAATGATTGTCAATTATTCTATGAACTTCCTTCATGATTAAATTCTGGATTTAAGGTAAGTATTTTATTTTTCTCTTTCAAATTCTTGACATTCTATAATTTGATTTTAAATACAAGCAAAGACGATAAATTTTGATTGCAACTCTAATGGAGTTTGAAAGAAATTATAACCACAGGGTGTGGTAAAATTTCTATGCCTTGTCATGATCAAATTCATGTATGATTGTGGGCAAAGAATTGAAAACCCGTCCAATTGAATTTGCTCCATTCTCATTCCCTTTAGAGAATGTGATAGCAGTATGTGATAAGTCTGAAAGAAGACAAAATTACTACTATGAATGTTTCAATGGATGTGGACGTGATAATAGACGAAATTATAATCATCATTATTGTGATATTGAGAATAATAAGGATTCTTAAAATAATCCTTCACTCTATGAAAGTAATATTTGTCATCGATTTGACATGAGATTTTATAAAGCACATATAGATGATTATGGTCCATTCATGATGTGAATGTGACAATATCTAATTTATGAATACATATTCATTCTTGGAAGAATATGAACGTGCTAGTGGTAGTGAATATACCACACTCACCTCTAGATGGAGGTTTGAGATGAAATAAGAAAATAATGTCATTATTATGGCATGAATGATCATTGGTCACGTACTTATTGTACGCCAAAATATTATGGCAATGTGATTATTAAAAGACAATGGTAATGCAAGAAACAGATCTTGCATATAATTTGACCATGACCACAATGGTATAACTTTTTCTTTAAAAGAGATATTCATCACATGGATGTTGATGAATCTGTGGTAGTACAAAATTAATTGAGAGCTCTGGAAGAGCCAATTATTACTATTTTGGAGGAATACAATTGATTATCATGTCAATTTATTGTGTTGTAGTAAGTCTCAAAGAAACTTATTCAGTTTCCAAAGTACACGCGAAAGCGGTTGATTATATTGAGACTATAAATAAAGGAAAGATTTAATATCTTCTATTACTACAACTTGTAGCGGGATAATATATATGTAAAAAGTTACTCGCTTTATTCTCCAGTTTGTACTACACAAATAAAAGAACATCACACTAAAGTGAATATTTATTGATATAAAAACTCATATCATAATAAACTTGGAGTTTATTGATAATTGCACATGTCATGGTGTAAACCTGAACTTATCAATATTGATAATTTATTCAGTTGGCATAATCAGTTTAGCCATATCAATTTAAGTATGATGTGCAAAAATAATAGAGAATTTCCATGGGTAAATATTAAAGAACTAGAAAGTTCTTTACGAATTCTCTTATATTGTTTGTTCTCATTAATTAATTGACCAACTAAAGTTGGGATTGAATCCCATGAATTCTGGAAATATCAAAGGTGAATATGGGCTCATTCACCTGTCATGTATACCATATAAGATGCATCTATGAGATGGTTACATGTGCGATTATTATTAACCCGCAACCTGGCCGGTGCTTGCGAGGTAACTTGCTCAGTAATTTAATTTCGAGCATAATTTCCAGATTTTCTATTCAAGAAGTTCATCTTGATAAGTTGGTTTACATCACAGTTGGTTTAGCAAAATAATTTATTGAGTGCCTCCACTTAATAGCTAAACTATTTCTTATGAGAACAAAGTTATATATATCAATTTGATATATGTTATATACGAAAGTATATTGCATTCTCCCCTCACAAGTGGATCAGGGTCAGGAACCAAATAATTTCATCTTATTATTATTGATGTGCGGTGTATATTTTTATTAACATCATAATGCACAAAGATGGATTTCCAAAGTTGAGGAAGCAAGTTAGTTTTTCTAACATGAGGGAGAGACAAGATACAGCAGTTGAGAAAAAAGTTACATGGAATGAATTATTATTTATACATATAGATCCTCGAATAGGATAATATGAACCTGAAGTTCATAAAAGGATAATTCATTTGCAATATATTGCAAAGCATTCCATACGCATTTGCTGACCCAAAGAAAGTAATTATATTCTCATTGCAAATGCTCATATTAAGTCCTAGAAGAACAAAATCTGTAGTACGCTTAAAGCGTATAGACAAATCGGTTTCAAATAGAACTTCTTGATAAAGAAGATGAGCAAATGATCAAAGTGATCATAATAAGGAGGCAAGTGATCTAGAATATCACATGACATAACACTTCATAAAATCTCAGGAGAGATTCAGGTACCTGAAAATATGAATGAAGAGATCTCTATGTCATGTCTTTATGAAAAAATATTGGAACCGATATAAAATGTTTGTCGACGACATCTATCATAGCGCTAAGTATAGATGAGGATCTTAAGTCTATCGAATATAGACACAAAAATATTGGCCAAATGGAAGAGACACAATTCGAATAGAATTGGTTTCATATAAAAGACATATAATTTTGTCTATGTTGTTCAAATACTTGAAAGTATAAAGTCAATGGTATGTGCAATCAGTTTTCGATATCTTATATGTCTAGCATGACATGAAAACTTGATATACATCTAAAGTCTCTTTAGATGGCTTATATGACTTAACTTATATGACAATCCATGAAGGATTTAAGTTGCTTAAAGCATATACAATTCTTGATCATTAAGTACCACTTTCTCAGTGCAATTTGTGCATATTTGTATCTTGCTATAACTATAAGCATGATAATGTGATAGCGAGGATTTTCAAGGTGCAATATATTCATTGGAGTTAATATGGCTGATTTATTTACCAAAACTCTGCCGATGTCAACCTTCAAGAAGCTAGTGCACAAGATTGGAATGTGAAGGCTCAATGATGTTAATTGATGCTCTCATCAGGGGGAGTTAATACGCGTTGCACTCTTTTTCCCTTACAAGGTTTTGTCCCACTGGGTTTTCCTAGCAAGGTTTTTAACGAGGCAACCAAAAGGCGTATTGTTAGATATGTGTACTCTTTTTCCTTCTCTAGAATTTTTTTCCTATTGAGTTTTATTTAGTTAAGGTTTTAACGAGGCACATTATCTGTTGAATAGACATTCAGGAGGAGTGTTATAAATAGAATTTTATTTATGGTGAATGTATATATTTTAGAGATATTCTAGGGTTTATTACTTGGTGGCTAAGTTACCCTTTTCCTATAAATAGAGAGTTCTATTCCATTGTAATTCATCCCAAAATCAATAAGAATTTTCTCTCTACTTTTCTCTGCAATATTCTTTTTCTTTTATTTTCATAACAAAGTAGCACTTAATCCTTATAAAATTTAACATCTTTGAGGGAGAAATGATGTGTTTCTGATTTGCAACATCGAATTTTTTCCTCGAGGAAGCAATTGTGTGTGATTTCAGTTTTTTATTTCAATGCATAATTCCCGCTATGAGTATGCATGTAAAGTACTTCCTTTGTATCGTGATCCAGTTTTTTTTTGTGATATAAATAAGAATATCAATGAATAAAACTGTGTTGGAGTAAGTTATAAATTGTTCCATTAATATTGCAAACTGCATGTTCTGTATGCATGTAGCTAAACTAAGTAGGCGTTTGGACATAAGAACTGTAAAATTCTGGAAAAAGGTAAAAAAAATATAAGTAAAAATAGTATTTGAAAATTAGAGTTATGTGAAAATATGAATATAATTTTTGGTTGTTTTGAATTTTTGTGAGTGATCTAAATGAAAATTTTGAAAAATAACTTTTTGAAGTTTTTAAAATTTTTAAAAAATTTCAAAATCCATCTTCAACTTAAAATTGAAAATTTTATGGCCAAATACTGAAATCGGAAAAAAGTGAAATTTTTTCAAAAAAAAAAAAAGTAAAAAAAATTTCATGACCAAATGGGCTCTCCTCATTCTGAAAATTAAATACATTTGGAGCTAAATAAAATTTTGTATCATAATAATAAGAAGAAAAATATCTCATATTTTTCAACGCAATTAATAAACATTATATCATCTATTACTAGCTAGAAGGGATTTTCTTAAGAACAAAAAGAAGACTAATAAAATTTACTCTGATTCTTCCAATGACTTTCATATTGCATCGTAGAAGTCACTTTTATCATATCCATGCGGATCAAATGCGGCTTTATCGAAGCGAGATCCTATCGGGTCAATTTCTTGAGAATTCACTGTATACAGCAACAAATCTGGATTCCTATACTCTTTTTTGTTGCGTAATTCTGCATTAAAGCTTCTGCCGGTAGTCTTCTTCAGAACAAGCAATTTAATTATCTTTTCTTGCAATTCGTCTGAACACTCCTCCTTTGGCGGACGAGGCAGCCATTTCTCCAACAGATCCGTTTCCTCTTTTTGTTGTTCTTCTGCAGGAACGTCCATAACAGGTTCTGAAGAAATTTCGATTCGATCAGTTGAAACGGAGACGTTTTGGGATTCAGGTTGGTATTCTTTTTCTTCTTGTTCTTCCATATCGTCATCCTCGTCGCCGTAGATAGATAGCAGCGCGATTGCCTCCGTTTCTTTCTTCTGTGACGCCTTTGCTATTATATCTTTGAATTGTACAATTATAGGGTTTTTGGTTGATGAATTAGGGATTTGGAAGTTTTGGAATTGATTTGAGGATTCCGTGGGGGAGCTATTGGGTTGAGGAAGGGTCCGGGTCGGATTGGAAAGAGATACGGGTCAAAATTAATTAGAGGTTGCGTGCTATTAATGTCGGCCTTATATTGGTAACATTATTACAGAAAAGGTTAATTTGCTGTTGATAAGGAAAAGGAAAGAACAATTTAGGAGCAATAATATCCGATATCATTATGGAGAAAGATATGCCTATTCAATTTTTATTAAATCTATAAATAAGTTTTACGCTATTAATAGATAGAACGTTACAAAGTCCCAAATTTCAGTAAGTTTTGTCACGTACCTCAGGTTCTCAAGCCTATATAGTGCTCGACTTGAATTGATGTATAAATTTTTAAAAAATATAAATGTGCTTGACATTATTTCAAAAGATTCTAGTTTTCTTACAAAATTATTTATTCAACTGGGTATCCTGAAGTAATTGGCGGCATCATGATATTACTAATGTTTTTTTTTTTTTGTGTGTCACGTCAATTTCTCAAGATTATATATTGATTGACTTGAAATGATGAACAAAATTTGTAAAAATATTGAATATGCGTCGTTTCAAAAGATTATATTTTCACAAAACCATTTACACAACTAGAAGTTGTAAGATACATGAACATGTACTGTTGCAATTGCAGAATTGAGCCTTGAGAAGAAGTTGAGTTGGCAAAGTTAGTTAGTACTGGTAGAAGTTAGTTACAGTTTATTATAAGAATTTAGCGGAAGTGAGTGGTAGTTAGCAGTATAGATTCCTTCATTCAGCTGAAGTATAAGTATCACGACAATTGTATTGTACATAGACATAATAGCCTGACAGACACCTGTACTTATTAGCCTTTGACATCCCGGTCCCCTTACTCCACATAGTTTCAACCAGGCACTTAAACTTGTTTAAAACATTAATTTTAAACACCTCTAATACGTGTGTTGTTCACTTGCGCTGATATAAAGGACAAATCATATCCACCTCAGATAAATTAATACCACGTCATTATTTATTTTTACAAAAAATACTTTTTAATAAAAATATCAAACCCATCCCTTTCTTCTCCAAAAAAAAACCCAAATCTTCCCGCTCTCTCTCTCTACCATTCTTATCTCTGCATGTTTCACCCGCCACCGCCACCCTTCCTTTTCCATCTGAAAACACTCAATCAAACCTATTTCATTTTATTTGTCCAAAATTTTTTCCATTACTACAATCCATTCAACCAGCCATGGTGTTTCTGCCGCCACCATCGCCGGCAACCACTCCAAAATCACCATTATCTCTCCTCTTCTCTTCGCGATTATGTCATCCTTTCAAAACCCAGACAATGAATGAATTTAAGAAAATCTATCCTTAAATTTTCTTTCAAGCCAAACACCCAAGAAACAACACCAAAAAATTGAAAAGGAAAGAGAAGAATGTTTCACTCAGTATTTTCTACCTCAAAATCCTTATTGACCCCTTCAGCTATAGCCGAAAAAATTATAAAACTAACAAAATATAGGTTCGTCGTCGTCGTCAGCAGTCGATGATGACCCAATTTTGGCTTGGAGCGCTATTTTAAAGCTTCACAATCACTTAATTCTCCAACGTCTTCATCGACTTTTTCCGTTATTTTGAGAAAAACAAAAATTAAACAACTTTGTTCCTTGACTAGCTGCTCTGTTAAGCTCTATCAATTTGGTCTTTCCATGTGTTATAATAATTTTTTTATCATAGCTCCAGTTGATTGCTAAAATTGGAGAAGAAATAATGTAATGGTGTTTGGAAAACTCTGGCTGAAACAAAATTTAATCTTAGAGGATGGTTTTTTAGGGATTTGGGGGTAAGAAGCGGATGGGATAGAAAGGGGCGAGATAATGACCAGCATTGTTTTTCTTTTTTTCATTTTTCTCTTTTATTATTTTCTAATCAAATTTTGTATAGTTACTCGCTTTTAGGAGCGTGCAATCACTTATTTTGTTTGACTCAGCAAAACAAAGGCCACATAAGTTTGGTCAATGGTCAGAGTAGTTTAAAATTAATGTTTTAAACAAGTTTAAGTGCCTGGTTGAAACTTTGCGGAGTAGGGGGAACGGGATGTCAAACCCGAATAAGTAAAAGTGTCTACCAGACTATTCTGCCTTGTACATATTCATTCAGATATAATAACATCTCTCTTCTCTCTATACTCTCTCTCTTACGAGTTAGCTAAATATCTCGGATCAGTCCCTGATTTAGCCTCATCATCCTCGAGCTGCAACTCCTGGATTAATTCTTTTCATCTTAATTCTTCTTTATTGTATCAATTGGTATCAGAGCTGCTCGATTCTTGGCATCGACATGGGTCGGGATAAAAATCAAGACAACCCTATTGACGGAATGGATGGTAAAATTTCAGAAATTCAAGAACAGTTGCAGAAATTAATGGAGGGTATGACTAGCTTGACTAATCAAAATACACAAACTGATAAGGAGTTGTTTGAGATCAAGGAGGCCATTGGGTTCATTAAACAGAAGGGCAAGGAAACAGAGCAAGTGGGAATTGAATCTCCATTTGACGGTGACTGTTCGATGGGCCAGAGTCGTCTGAATCGACCTCGAGAATTTCAAGCAGGCTCTACTCCAACTGGTAATTTCTTTACCCGATTTTCTAGATTAGATTTTTCTCGATTTTCTGGGTATGATTTGAGGTCTTGGTTGTATAAGGTGGATCAGGTTTTTTCTATGGAAGAAATCTCTTTTGATGAGAGAGTGAAGGTGGCTTCAATTCATTTTGATGGGGAAGCCATTGCTTGGCATAGATCTTATATGAGGTCACGGAATACAAGTGTGTTCCCTACTTGGATGAATATGTATTAGCTTTGAATGAAAGATTTGGAGAAGATTTTGAAGACCCTATGGAGGCAATTAAGAATTTAAGGCAAACTGGAGGTGTAAAGGAGTATCAAGCTGAGTTTGATAAACTTTTGACTGAGGCCAATATATCAAATGAGAATGCTATTAGTTGTTTCTTGGGGGGTTTGAAACTAGAGTTGAATAAATCTATTAAGATTCAGTCGCCAAGGACCTTATGCAAGCCTACAGGATTGCTAGATTACAGAAGGGTGTTTTCGAAGCACAAGCTCAATCTTGGGGAGTTAAACCTTCCTTCAAACCACAGAACTCTATATTACCTACCCCTTCCTAGTCTAAACATCATAATCACCAAAAACCTCCCATGTCAAAACCTACATTTAAGAAACCTTTTGAACCAAATTCTAGTAAACCTAACAGATTGCTTGGTAGAAGGCTAACTACTGCAGAAATGGATGAAAACGGGCCAAGGGGTTGTGTTTCTTTTGCGACGAAAAATATGAACCAGGGCATGTTTGCAAGGCAAGAAAACAGATATTCATGGTAGATGTGAATGATGAATATGAAGTTACTGGTGAAGATTTATTGGAGCAAGGTTTAGAGATCAATATAGAATCGGATGAACTAATGACAATCTCTCTACATGCATTTACTGGAGTAACAGGTTTTTCAGACCATAAGGGTCACTGGTTATCATGAAAAGAGACCTTTACAAGTGTTGATTGATACAGGAAGCACCCACAATTTTATTGATGAAGAGGTGGACAGGAAATTAGGGTGCAAGCCTAGTTCCATAGCTGAGCAATCCATAAGTGTAGCTGATGGAAAACGAGTGCAAACTGCGTCAGTATGCAGGAACTTGCAATGGCTACTCAGGGCACTACATTCTCTTTAGACTTTTTACTCCTGCCCTTGGGTAATGTTGATATAGTATTGGGAGTACAATGGCTGAGCACTCTTGGCATAATCATATTTGATTTCAAAAATAGAGCAATTGAATTTGTCTATCAAGGAAAGAAATATGTGCTGAGAGGGGCTAGCAGCAAGTTGAAATAAACTAAAACCAGCACTCTGAATAAAAAGCTTGTGGACGATGCTCAATTTTTTATGATGTCCTTAATTACAAATGCGGCAGAGGGTGTTCATTGTAATAGTATACAAGCTTCTCAAGGTAATGAGATATCTCCTGTTTTGTCTACCTTATTGGAGCAATATACTAGCATTTTTGAAATTCCTACTGTATTGCCTCCCCATAGAGGTTCCTTCGATTACAGAATTCCTCTCATAGATAAAGCAATACCTGTTAGTAAGAGGCCTTATAGATATCCTGGAATAAAGAAGGATGTCATCGAGAAGCTTGTGCAGGGAATGTTGGATCAGGGAGTGATACAACATAGTACAAGTTCTTATGCTTCTCCTGTTGTTTTAGTGGGGGAAAAGATGGTAGCTGGAGGCTTTGTGTTGATTACAGAGATCTAAATCAGCTGATTGTTAAGGATAAATTCCCTATACCAGTTATTGAAGATTTATTAAATGAATTGGGGGGTGCTGTGGTTTTTTCTAAAATTGATCTTAGAGTTGGTTATCACTAATTAAGGATGGCTGCTGATGATGTTCATAAGACTGCTTTCAAAACTCATGAAGGACACTATGAATTCTTAGTTATGCCATTTGGCTTAACTAATGCTCCATCATCCTTCCAAAGTCTTATGAATTCTGTCTTTAAACCCCTTATCAGGAAGTCAGTCTTGGTCTTCTTCGATGACATATTAATTTACAGTAAAAGTATGTTTGATCATATTATGCATCTAAAGGATGTGTTTGAGTTAATGGTGCGACATCAGCTATATGCTAAACAATCCAAATCTGTTTTTGGGGTACATGAAGTTGAATACTTAGGGCATTTTATTATTGCAAAAGGAGTGGCTACAGACCCTAAAAAGATTTCAGCTGTTAAACAATGGCCTGTTCCCACTACTGTGAAACAGTTGAGAGGATTTTTAGAATTAGCAGGTTA